GACCTAACTCCCCAAGTGGTGCAATCACTGATGTGTCTAGTCAAAGACACCTGTACTTAAACATATATATCTCAAGAGACTTTTATAATTTCAAGTCCCTAGACACCCACACTCAGGAGGTGACGGTTTATTTCTTACACATCCAAAACTTTCTTCTAAGTACATTTTGAAAAACTAGGTGGTTATGAAAAAGAAATATTGTTTTTTTCAATTCCATGCAACTCTACAGGAAGCCCGATTTCTTTGGGCTTTTACAAGGTCTTTCTCCACTTTGAGAACTAAGTCCATGGCAATCATGAAGGTTAAGATGTACTTGAAACATTTTACCTTTCAGATAAGACTAAAATTAGAGATTAGAGACTAAAATCTGCCAAAAAAGGAAAAAGAATTGGCAAAGTTTGAGGAAATGAAAATAAAGGTTTAGAATCAAATGTCTCTTTTATAGTTGTTATATAACATCACTGTGGTAGAGGAAAACAAGAAAACTGGAGCGCAGATTTTGCATTTGAATTAGCTAATTATGACTGCGTATGTATTAATACATATTGCAAGTTACATTTTTAAACATCAGCTTCCTATTTTCCTCTTTGAGAATTGTAAACACAAGAAAATAAGCTTTTTTTTTTAAAAAAAAAAAAGCATATTGTTTTTGGTTAATGGGAGTTGCTTAGATAAGTCACAGTGAATATTTACCCCACACTGAGACTGGAAAGACATTTTCATTTACCTCTGGGAGATTTTCTATGAAGGTGTGAATATTTGCTGCTTTAGCTGCCTCTTCAACTTCCTCCTGACTGACAACCCTACTGTTGTCTCCGTACTGGATATTTTCAGCAATGCTACAGTCAAACAAAATAGGCTCCTGTGACACAATACCCAATTTGGACCTTAACCATTGCAAATGCAAAGATTTGGTATCGAACCCGTCTGCAAACTAGAAACAGAAAAAGGGAAAAATCATTCCCTGCAGAATGCAATACTCCTCCTCAGGCGTACAATGTAAATGTGAAACACCAATCTGTACAAATCCTCTGACCTGTGTTAGAGTTACAGTAAAAGTAAAGTGGTTAGTGAACCACTTCTGGTGAAATAATAGATGATCAGATCTTTCATCCAAACTTGAACTGAACCAAAACTCTGAAAATTCAAAAGAAGCTCAGATAACCTTTTCTTCTCAGAAGAATTTTTTTGTGCACATCTGCTCTGCTAGCTTCCATAATAGATGTGGAATTGCCAATCTATAGTGAGATGTGCCCACAGAATTTCCATCTTTACTGATGATGGCAGGTACCAGAGATCTCATGAGAAAGTCTGTTCATGAGCTTCTTAGACCTAGATGGTTGATAACCTCCAATAAGAATCCACATCTTTGGGCATTTATTCAAACGTCCTTTGACTCACCATCTCTAGGCTATTCTTCTTGGAGCTCTCATCATCATTAATAGGACTTGCATCAAAAGTCTCATCAAGTGATGAATTAGACCTCAAACTGTGTCATGTTAACATGAGTACAGGACTAGAGACAAGGGTTACATTATGGGAAGTATATTCTAATGCCCCCTCCAATATATCAAGTAAATCAACCAAGAGATGCAATCCAGTGATCTAAAGCCAGGACGGGGAGTCAGAAGATCCAAAGTTCTACTCCCGGCTCTACCTTAAGCAAGTCCCAAGTCTTCTCTGCAGTACCCAGACCTGTAACAACACTTATCCACCTCAAAGGGGTGTTTTGCAGATGATGATATGTTTGTAAAATACTTTGAAGAACAGTTCTATAAGCTCTTAGCGTTAACAGCTTCACAAATCTTTTCTTACCACTTGTCCTGCCATAGGGTCATAAAATCTCTCCAGCAGCTGAATGGATGTGCTTTTGCCACAACCACTGCTCCCCACCAAGGCTAGCGTCTGTCCTTTATTAACCTTCACGCTGAGTCCTTGCAAAACTTGAGCTTCTGGTCTTGTAGGGTATATAAAATGGATGTCTCTGAATTCAATGTTGCCATCAAACTGACTCTGGAAACAGTAGAAAATACAAATGTATGAAAAAAGACCTGTCTATCTTGTACTGAAGCATCAAACACAACTCATTATGGTCATTTAAATGAAGGCGTGAGAAGTCAGTTTATTATTGCTTAAATATGCAGTGCGATTGGATTGGTATCTTCTGTGTACGGGACCTCCTTCTTGAGTGGTTCTTTTCTGCATCTCTCTCTCATTTATATCATTCTTTTTCAGCCTGGTTCGCAAGGACTATCATTACTTTAGGTAAGTAAACAACCCTAATACCTCTCTTTAATGTCATCATTGCATATAATCCAGACACTATCACTGTGTGTGGAAAACATAGTTCCTGCCCCTGGGAGTTCACTCTCTAAATAGTGTCATTTAAACCATAGTACACAGGATGAACATAGTACAAGGCGAACATCAGATCTCAGATTGGGTTAAACATTTTTACTTTGGTGGATTATTCATAGTTTTCAAAGACAACTATGTTTTAAGTGTAGGTTTGAATAAGGAAAGTGTAGCTGATTGGCTCTTTTATGTAGGAAGGGAGCTCTGAGTATAAGAGGTAGCAAGGAAGAAGACTTGAAGACAAGGGTGAGTGAAGGAGATGTTAGGAGAGACTGTGGGAGCCTCCTCTGATGCCTGGGGGATGGGACAGCTCCAGGACCACAATACCAGCACTGTGAGTACAGTGGGCTCTTACAGCACCTAGAGAACTGGACTTTCAAGGTTTAAACTCTTTGGGTCAAATCTTAGCTTCATTGAAGTCAAAGGCAGCTGCTTCACTGGCATCAGGATTTGGCCCAGAGAGGTTTCACTTTCAATTAACATCTTTATCCACAAGAAGATATTTCCCCTGGAGTATTAGTAGTCTGGGCATGTGGAGCTGATTCAGGAAAGTAGTCAAGCACATGTGTGACTTAAAATTGTGCACATGAATTACTGGCATGCTTACAGTATGTGCCCGAGTCCTTTTCTGAATCAAGGCCACTATCCAAAAGCTAGAATTCTAAAGCAATTTCAAGTTTCTGAAAGGTTGGTTCAGCTTGTAAAAGCATTTATGAAAAGCACTGAAAGACAATATGAAATGTGTTCAGTTTACAGATACAAAGATGAGTTTCTAACTGTCAACACTGGACTTTGAGAGACAAGCTGGGTTCTTTCCATCTCACGTATAATCACCAGGAACTTCTGCAGGCCAAGTTACGTCCTTGTGATCGGTGTCGGTCCACCTGCCCTCTAGGGGGCGGTGGGGAGCTACGACATCACTGGCCGGCCTGGGTCACGCCTCTACCACTGGGGAATTAGCGGCGGGAAGGACGCCAGCCAGTGTCTGTAGCACGCCCCTCAGGCAGGGGAGCGCCGGCAAAGGTCAGTAGTGCGCCCCTCAGGCAGGGGAGCGCCAGCAAAGGTCAGTAGCACGCCCCTCAGGCCGGGGAGCGCTGGCAAAGGTCAGTAGCGCGCCCCTCAGGCAGGAGAGCACCAGCAAAAGTCAGTGGCGCACCCCTCAGGCCGGGGAGCGCTGGCAAAGGTCAATAGCGCGCCCCTCAGGCTCAGGCTCCTCCAGCTCCTCCCGGTACTCGGCTGCTGGCAGCTCCAGCTCCCCCTCCAGCTCCTCCAGTCCCTCTGGGTACTTGGCTTTGGGCAGTCCTGGCAGCCCCAGTCCTTCCTCCAGGTGAGGGTCCCACTTGTCCAGGGCCTCCCCTGGC